CAAATGCATCTATTCCATCTGATATGAGTGAGCTGTATTTCTGGGCCTAAGTACTTAACATATGAGAGAAAAATGTGTATTGAGTAAGGAAACAGGAACAGAAGACCAATAAAGGTAAAAAGGTAACTAAACATCTCATTACTGAGATAAACTTCAAAAAAATCCCAATAGTTGAAAGTATTCCTCCCTTGGGCATGGCTAGTTTCCCCAAAGACATTATTAAAACAATGTAGCACACAGCAGGGTTCCTATGAGCTCTTCATAAGCTTAAATGAAAGTGAGGTTGTTAAAATATATCATTTCTGTCTTTAGAGGATGTAACTGACAGGAAGCAGCCCTTCGGGTTCAGAACTAGAGGGAAAAGCTTTGCAGCCTCACAAACACCTATTACCATCTGAATCTCAGAGGAAACTACCTATGATCCTGCTTTACACGATGCATTAGGCACGTGGTTATAAATATATACTAAAGAATATATTGCTAGCATTTTAAATCTTCAATACCAGAAGCAATACATATGTTTCCACTTTAAAACAAAAATCCCATTTGAAAATATATAGTTACTGGAAATTGCAAACCCCTGCAAATCTTTGCTGTGCAGCTCTACGAAGAAAGTGGTTTCACAATCACTCTTTGGAATACCAGACTGTTGGGCTCAACAGAAGCACACTGTTCTCTTCAAATTACGTTTAATACAGTGCATAATGGCACCCAACAGAGCTACAGCTCCCAGGACTAAGAGCAGGCCCTGCTTTTTGCAATATGTGTGTATGGAAGGAGAGGAGCTCCAGGCTCTGAGCTCCCAACTGTGTCGTGTCAACTACAGCAGGAGAGCCCACACAGGGCACCCACACAACCATCCTGTCTGCAGACTGAAGGCTCATTTACAGAAGAAACATCCTTTAAGAGCCATTATCCTGCACAGAGATCTGCAAAGTATTAGAAGAACTGTTTGTGCATTACTCTCACAGTGCAGTGTAATTTTTAGTGTAGCTGGCACCAAGACAGAAGTTCAGCCAACACAAAGATTATTCCCTTATCAGGAAGGCTTCAGAGCCCGAGAGGGAAATTCACTTTGATCTGCAGTAGCTTACCAAAACCTCACGAAAATTGGAAGAGGCAGAAATACATTCCCACTTAAAAAATCTCTCTAGAAGAAAAATAAAGCTAGCACTAGGAATTCAATCTGATCTGGTTTGAATCTGTGAAGAACACTGAATATAAAAGCATATAAAAGCATATCCTTACATCAAAGCCAGGGTGTACCCAAGCTGGTGCTTCCAGCATGGCCCAGGGTGAGGCCTGCACAGCACACCACAGCCTCCCACAGGGAGCAGCTCTAGCACTCAGAAGTGCTACTTAGCTGTCAGCTCCTCTGAGGACAAAGCTCACATGCAAGCATTTGCTGCAGCTTTTACTTCCAGATAAAATTAAAGCTGTATTTATGAATGGCAAGTTCTCCTTCATATAGAAAACCTTTAAGTCTTCGTCTACAGAAATGCATGCCAATAAATGATCAAAAGGAAGGATCTGTTGATAAAGAATGCAGCTACTTTGTATCTGAATCCAAATACTTCCCAGTTTTGTGTAGTTTTATTCAGATCCAACAGACTGCACCACATTTTCCCTTTTACCAGGGCAGAATGGTACTCTTCACTCTTCACATGATCCAACCTCCATCAGTCTCACGCACACATCACAAAACTAGAGAGTAGTGCTGAGATTATCCTATCAGATCATTACTCTAGCAGACTTAGCATCCTGTAACAAAAACGTGGGCTACTGATCTCAAAAAACGGTGAAATAGTTTTCTGGATTTCTCAGCTATGCTAGGATACATCTGAGGAATAATAATGGCACATCACTGCTGTGATAGTTCAAGGCACAAGAATTGTTAGCTGTTACAGACTGCAATTATAGATTTCTCTCCAATTGTATATAATACAGTTCTATCCAGGAAGTAATTCAAGTCCCCAATAAGCGGGAAAGAGTATGGGCAAAGATGTAATAGTACAGTGATTAAGCCAAATCACTCCTCATTAAGACATTTTTTTTTTTTTTTTTTGCTACTAAGCCTTTTTGAGACAGCAACTTATTCATAGGTGTTATTTCCCTTTTACTTGGTGAGTGCTTTTTTCTTTTTAACTATTCACGCTTTTAAATATATGTGGGAAAAAGCAATCATATTATTAGATCCAAACTGTGGCAATAACAGTATGCAGCCTGCTCATTCATAGGGTCAGCACCTCTACTGCTGCTCCATTTCAGAGAAAAGATTCTGGTTTATAAACCCCTGTTATTTTATTGAGGTCTACTACACTAATGGAACCTGAGAATGTTTATTAAGAACAGCTATTGCAACATAAACACAAAATCAGTTCATATTCCTGTTTATAAAAATCCACAAGTGTCTAAAGCAATAGAAGTCAAAAAAATACACATTTAAACAAGTGCTTTCTTTAAGATAAATGAAAGATCAATCGCGTTTCCTAATCTATCATACACAATCAATTAAGCCATAATTAAACATAAATATCAGTCATAACCAGGAAAAAACACTGTGCTGTGCTGTATTGGATCTACCCTTGCTACTTATGTATGTAAAAAATGGTTATGGTGGAGTTATTTAGAAGCATTTACCAAATCTCTTCACCTTGCACTTTATAACCACTGAAGCAGCATACATTCAACATATTCTATTTTAATTTATATAATAATGGAGAACTATATGATAGAGAAATAAACAGCCAGTAAGAATTTTAAACTGTTACTTGCATTAAATTATGTTTAGTTTTCCTAGTTTTCTTAGTTTTTAGTACAATGTAACAGATTTCCTGAAAGTTCTGATCTGCAACACAGACTCTTACATGAAAGTCTGACTATGGCAAGAGATAGCACACAGATTAATGCAGCTTTTGGTGCAAGCGGCATAGGAGAGGGCTAAAGAACAAAAGCATCAGCAAGAAGGTGGGGCCTTTGCCATGAGAAACACATTACTGACGGATGCCGAAAAAGTGAACTACAGGAAGACTTGTGGGAGAAATGTTGTAGTGGTTGATCTGGTTCTTTATGGCTGTGAGTCTTCACCATGAAAAAGTCAATTGTATCAGTTATCTTGTGTAACAACCGGATTAATTTTGTACTTCAGAGTAGCTAACTTCCATACCGTACATGATTCACTGGAGAATGGATGAATTGAATCCTTCTCTTCCAATACGAAAGTAAACAAGAATAACCCATTGTTTTATAACTTTATTTAAATATAAATAAATAATAAATTCTTAATGATGCTTAGAGGACACTAGGAAGGCATCACCGAAACTATTTAGCTAAGGGTAACTAAGTGCTTCCATTACAAAGATTAACTCTGATTTTCAACAAATCAGAAATCTATCCTTTCTCACTTTTTCTTCTCAGGTTTGTAAAATATCAAGTTCTAGAAACAACATCAGTAAGTTATCTCTTGCTGTTTTAACACTGTCCTCAGTATTTCAGCTGCATTTTGAAAACAGAATAAAAAAATTGGGAAGACGCAAAACTCATGTGGGATGTATTTGTTTTGGCATTTTGACACAAAAACAGTTGTAGGGAATAAGAAAGAGGAGGGAACATGGGAACAAACAGCAGGTTTATAAAAGACATATAAACGTAGAATTTTATGACATACCTAATGCAAAAAAGAACATGAAAATGGGCACTGATTTCTGCTGTTACAAGTCTACTTAACATCCAACACAGATTTGCTTACTAAAATTTTACCATAATATAAGAGATGAAGCACAAGAGAAGAATTTTTACTTTTGAAGTTTTGTGTTGAACAACAGGAAGAAATTCCATCTCAATAAATGAGAAGAATAAGTTTTAAAAAGAGGAACTCTAAAACTGGCCCAGTAGTTGCTAGCTTAAAACAAACACGCTGGCAAACTAACAAAGCAATTGAACACAACATAGAAACTCATCAAGAACTGCTTCTGGTTGGGTATGTTGCAGCATACCTATTTTTCCTTAGCAGAGGATTAGCCAAGTGGGCAAAGTAACAAAATAATTTACATGAAATGAGAGATTTCTGTATCACAGCCAAATAAGGTCTTGTTTTATTTGTTGTCTTTTTTTTTCAGTCACTCCTAAGAGCAGGTGATAAATTCATTGATGTTCCCCAAAAAAGATGGGTAATAGAGGCAAGTCTGAGTGAAATTAAGACCATAAGTTTTACAAACACAGTATGAAACCTTTTTTTCCTCCTCTTCATATGCCATAAAAGAATTCCAAATAAATCATGTGTGTAAAATAAATCTGGCTTATGACAGATTAAGCTGTACTTACGTTTTCCTCCAAAATTTGTGGTCAGAATCAAAGCAGATTGACAGGTTGAGCGAAGATGATGTTCTTACAATACTTTCCCCCCGGCCAATCTACCCACACGCATTATGAAGGGTCCAGTGCATTCAGGGAGCAGTGTTGTCTGTGTGAGAGCTTCCCAGGGAGCACACACACGCTCCCAAAGAGACTGCAGAAGTAGTAGCCAAGAGCTCCCATTGCAATTGACTATAATCACAATTTCCTAATTCCCATTTTCTGTTCAGTTTTCTATCTTGCTCTTTCCTTTGTACGTTTATCTCACAGAAGAATCCTTCCCACTGACATTACAACATTAGCATAACAGCAAGCCAAGCAAAGCTGTAGTTTTTGATCACGTGCAAAGTGAGCGTAACAAACCAGTTTGATTTCCTTTGGCTTACAACTGGAAAACTATTTTTCTGCAGCTATGTAAGACTCTTTCTTTGGATTATTCGAAAAATATTTGTTGAAAAAAATAATACTGTACAAAATCTGAACATACTGAAAAATCCTCAAGAATATACACAGTAAATTATACCTGGCTTGTAGACTAGACTTCTGATCCTTGGCTCAATCAGCAACTTCTTTCCTGACACAAAGGCATACACGAACATTTGCCAGCCATCATTTTGGGTGTGTTACATCAGCAAAAAAGAACTCACCAGAAATATCCTTTCAAGTTGATCTTGAATGTCTTTCATTCCTGGAAAAGCAGCGACCCCTTGAATCATTTCTACAAAGATACATCCCACTCCCCTACAGAGGGAAAAAAAGAAAAGCATGCATTATTAGAAGTTTTATTTTAGATTAAAGCGCTATTAACAATGATTTGTCTCTATCACCAATATTCAAATAATGTATTTTATTTGCATTATATTTCAGATCAGTGCCAAGCTGAAGGACAAGCATTTGTACTTACTGAAAAACAATGTACGCAAATACTTTGTTTTTTGGGTGTTTGAAAGCTAAGAGTAGAGATAAGAGGAAAATGCATGCTAGTTGTTGACACCAGTAAAGGCACAGCAGCAGCTTTCTGTCTCTGTGAGTGCTTTCCAAGGAACATGCTCCCATACAGACTCTGGGGATATGGGAGTGGCACTGAAAGAGCATTTCTGAGAGAAGCTGAACAAGACAGGAACATGGCACAGAGGTACACTGGAATGGCTCAGAGTGGAGGCAAATCTGGAAAAATGAATCAAAAGGATACATGGTTGCCCACAATGAATTATGCTATTGCCCAAATGCAGGTGACTCCTGGGATAGGCTTGCAGCCACAGTCTCTCTCCTCTCCCCATCACGACAGCTGCCTTGCTACAGGTCCTTGCCCCATGCTAGCATAAAAGTATTTTGTGCTAGTCCCCTCATCTCACACATTTAAGCCACTGACAGAAGTGCTAGGAAATTGGGGAAGAAATATACAGCCAAAAGAATGGATTCTGAAGACCTGAGGAAAGTTTCTGCAGGATGTAAATGATGAACTTTGGATAACCAGTGTAATTATTGTGTCTGAGAAGCAAAAGAAATTAGAAATTTGCATTTGCTCCTTTTCTGGATGAAAGGAGTTCAACACTTGTTCCATCAAAAAAACAATAGTAAGAGAGAATGTCTTGCACATGCAAAATCCCATGTATGACATATAACCCACATCTGTGTAGCAACCACAGGAAAAAAACTTAGTGCAAATGTCAATTCAATAACCCAAAATATATATCAGAATGAAGTAATAACTCTCAAAGCCAACTACATTTCCACCTTCCCCTTAAACTGTGAGTTGTGCCCTTTTAGTCTGAAAATTCCAGTAGTAATCTCTAATTTAACTCTGTTTTCAGGGGTAAACTATTACAGCTGGGATTATCAGCATCTAAACCATGTTATACTCATTTCTGAAGGCTCTGACTACTACAGAATGAAATAATTCTGTGTTTCAAGACGATGAGAGTTGATAGTTAAATTTCCTGCAGAGAAAATTAAACATGCATTTCCCATTTCTACATCCCAAAGCAGAGATACAGTAAACAAAGTTTCTCCCTAGTCATTGAAAAAGTGGGTGAAAATATTAAAGGCAGGGTTGGAATAATTCAGGTGTTTATAAAAGAGAGAGGCTGAAATTTATGTTCCATATGCTGCTGCTGGTTACTGAATGAACAGAATTGATTAAACTGCCACTCATCATTCACTCTGGTTTGTGCTTCATTAGGCACAGATAGGCACAATATATCTTAGTCAAATACTTACAAACAGCATCAGGATCTCAAGCAAAGAAAAATTCAAGATTTCTGCTGGAAGCCGTTTATTCAAGAGAAGAAAAAAAACAACAGATTTTAAACTATAGAAAAGGGGATTAGAGCACGTTTACATTGGTGAAAGAGGGCATCTCATCAAACTAGTTTATCATTTTAACACTAAAGTGATGTCTTGCTATCTGCAGAGAAACTACAGCTAGCTCTGATATAAAAGAAACACACAGATTTTTCCAGATTGTTCATATTTGTTAATATGAAAAAACATATTTGAAAAATTTTCAAAATTTTCCACTTCTAGCAGAACTGCTGCAAGAATGAGCCAAAAATCTAGAAAAAAACCTGCAAATACTATTGAAGAAAAAATTTCCTGCTTGGAAAGAAGAATCCTATTAAGTGACTCGGGCTGTTGTGTAACCTAGTACTCCATTTAGTCATATGTTGAAATGAGGAGTTATATGAACAACTAATACAAAAATGAAAAGGCTATTAAAATCACTGAGGAGAGAAACATGAAAAAGCTTCCAGCCTTGGGCTGGAGGACTGCTGTTCACTTTGGCCCACTTGAAAATTATGCTTGGTTTCAAAGCTTATGGCACTCACCCAGCACTCTGAAGAACAAGCCCACAGAAAGGAAAGATTACATGAATACTAAAGAGGGAGAGAGAGAGGAGGGGGGAAAAAAAGTATGACATTGAACTGAAATGAAATACTCAATAGGCAAAACTTCACATAAAGACTTTAAATGGATGGAATGGTATTTTAGATGCCTTAGTGTACTTAGTGAATTTTGTATTAAGCACACAGCAAGTAGAAACTAACTGTATGGCAGGAACTCTGAATCACAAACCTTAAATACACACCTGGAACATGAACGGACGTAAAAGTCTGTACAAAGCCTTTACATTTAGACTTGGTTTTGGAAAGCTCACAAACCACTAAATAGGTTAGAGAGACTTTTGAGCAAAGTCACAGTGATTTACAGGCCAGGTCTTAAGGAAAGAAATCAAATAACTATGTCATTCTTGGCTAAAAAAAAACCCACAAAGGACAGGGAGAACATGATGACTCTGTATTTAACATTATGTAAAATGAAGGACAGTGAAGAATTGGCTAGGATTTTAATGGTTCGCAGAACCATAGGTAGATCAAAGATAATCAGAAATGGGAAAAAGCATTTAGGAATTGAAAACTTCAGGATGTGTTAGAGAAATACTCTTAACGATTATGCTGTACCCGGGCCTCCCAAAGGATGGGAACTCCACGGTTACAGTCATGTGAAACCAGGCAAGCTGCAACACTTATGAATATCCTTCAGGGACCAGATTTGCATTAACAGTGGGGTGGATAAGATTATCTCACAGATCACTCCCATCTCTAGTTTCTGTGATGCAAAGATTACATCTTGATATGTGAAATACGACCAATTAACTTGGTTGTACTGTGCATGAATCTCCAAGGGCGTGTTATTTATGTATCATCTGGGCACACAGCACAGATGTCATTTCCAGGCAGCATTTCAGAAATCATTTTTGTGACAAAAATGTATTTTAGTACATTCAAATCAAATTTTTCTACTCTCTTGGTAGGTCTTCTAACTTTGAATAAGTAAGCCAAATGCTGCTAACTCTGAGATGCTTTTCTTAGAGATCTTCCCCATAGAACAGCATAGGATAACCTTACAAAGTAAAGTGACAGCCATTTAATGTTGAAATGTGTGGCTTACTCTCTGATGACAAAAAGCATGACTAAACCTATTGATGTATTGATGAGACCATATGTGGCCATACCATCTAATATTGCTCTTCTATTGTCCTGCTTAATTTGCTGGGACTTTGGCTGCCACCACACATCCTCACACGGGCTAAGAGTTAATAGCATGGCTAAATGAGTTACTGTTGCATTTGAAATGACACAGCAAATGAGCCTGTAAAAATGAAGTGGGATGCCCCAGGAAACTGTTTATGATGTGGACTGTTCTGTTTTTCCTCTGCACAAAATCTATAACTCGAGAACTTATTGTCTTAAAAGTAGCTTGCTTACTTGGAGTTTGGTTTTATATTTTTGGTTCAGGAATTTGCATTCCTCTCTCTGTGTAGCAAAGATTCTTACTGCAACAAGAACAATCTACAGCCTATCTGTATTTGGATACTACAAGAAACTAATATAAAAGCTCTGGAGAATACTGTGTATAAAAGATTTTAGGCTGTTTCCTTCAGCTATTATTTTTTCCTGATGGATTTGCAAAAGAGAATACAAACAGATTTTGGAATAAGGAGTCATTTCCAAATTTTGTGTTACTTTATACTTAAATGGAGGTTATATAAAGCCTGAGTACTCGAGGAACATTTACTGTGTATGTTAAAAACTGTTGAACTTTGCCTTGGACAGATCTGCAATGCTTTCTAACAGACTCCCTGAAGGTGACGACATTCAGCATGATCTTCATAGCAAAGATATATGCTGGCTCTTCACACAAGATTTTTAGGTGGCCATGAAGCCTATGTTCAGTGTGAAGAATTTGGCTTCAGAGTTGGAAGGCATCTTGTGAAAGCCAAGTAACTACTTCAGTAATCCTCCTGATAAGATTTCTGAAACTCAGAGTTAATATTCCCACAGTTTTCATACAAAGCTTACCAAAATACACACAGTTTATACACACTGTTAAATATATCATGGTAATCAAAGCAGCAACAAACCTGCTTGTTTTTATGGATTCTTCATAAAGAGGCAATAGTTTATCTTCTATAAAATTCACTTCTAATATAAATGTTGGAATGGCATGGGAGCCTTTCTCTTGCCAGATTTATTCAGAGACTAGCCAGGTTATTTGTATGATCCTGCTTATGAACAGAACTATGACAACAAGCTGTAGGGGAAAGGAGCAAGGGACTTGTGTCTCTTTAATTGATCAAATGCTGATATTGTTCTACAACAGTACAGAGTCAGAAATGAATGGAATAACATAATCACAGGATGGCTGAGATGAAAGGTAAATCTGGGCGCATCAGCCCAGCCCCTGCTCCAGAGCAGGTGCCCAGCTCACACCCTGCAAGCTCTTGGAGATCTCCCAGGCGGAGATCCCTCAGCCCCTGGGCACCTGCTCTGGCACCTGCACAGCACAGAAGTGCTCCTGGGGTTCAGATCAAACCTCCTGTATTCCAGTTTGTGTCCATTGCCTCCTATGAATATTATGGATGATGAACTTAGTTGGAATTCATCTTTCCTGACCGCAAGTCTTTGATACATGAAATGAAGATACCATGGGAAATACAGACCAATCAAAGGGTAGGGGCACAAGGTAAATAGATTGCAATTCTTACAGGAGAAATCATCAGTGAAGAAAAATTTCCCTCCCATACTGATAAGGAACATTAAAATTGCTATAGAAATAAGATACGATGAATGAAATGTAAATTATTTTAAAGTATGAGATTTCAAAGTTAAGAAAGAATAGCATTCTAGTTCTTGCCTGCATCACTGCGCTACCTAGATATAAAAGCTCCACAAAGTGTTTGTGATTCAATAACCAGTAGCAACTTTCAGATTCTATACTAAGAAATATGATATCCATGAAAGATCAAATTGTGCATGATGACTTTTTGTAAGAATCTTACAATTAGGCATATTTGTTCTGAAAAAAAAGGAAAATGCAAGAAAAAGAAAGAAATCACCCTCATAATTAAACAACATTTTGCCACAAGATCCTGTTGAAGATGCTCTTCTGAATTTTCTTTCCCTCCCATGAATCCATACTTTCCTGTCCTGACACACACACACACATTTTTATCAGTGTAAAAAGGATAGTAAATCTCTTGTTTCAGATGGATAAAAGTTGTTCTTTAGATAGGAACTGAAATGCCCTTCCAATAACCAGAGACAAAGATGTTTTCCTCACAGTCAGTATTCCTATAAATTAGACGCCATGACAATTTTCCAATCAAAAGTTAACTGAGCTGTTAAAACTTTTGAGGAGCTCACTGACAATAACAAGTTTAATTAACAATACCTTGACAGTCACTGCAATATCCTTGCCTTAATATCCTAATACTGAAGATTAGCATTTCTTTCTCATGAAAGTTCCAATCATAACTAACACTGAGAGCAGAAGAACTAACCTACCCTGCACTGTTTTCTCTCTTGGACCCCAAGCAGCATTTCTTCAGTATGTACTGGGACTTCTACTCTCAGATTTTTTTTCACTGCAAAGTGTTTACAGCAAATATGGGATAAGGATGCATTTGTAATGTCTCCTACGTAAAAATATAATTTCATGCACCCGCGTCTAATAATAAATATCTTAATTACTATCATAGGTCTTTACTTGTCAACTATTCATAAAAGGACACGCGGAATTGCATCAAATACTCGAGTCTACCTCAGAGCAGGCAATATGTGGAAAGTGCCATACTCCTTAAAATTACCATTTATTTGTCTATCAGTATAATAGAAAATCTTCATGTGAATAGCTGACCCCAGATTATGATCTGAATTGACATCATGTCCATCAACCCAGATGTTACAACGTTAAATAACAGTGATTTAATAAGCAATTTCATAACATTTGACTTGCCTAGTTATGAGCAATTTCTTTCACAGCTCTAAGCACAATTGACCTTCATTACTAAAAGTGAATTTAAAAAGTCAACATGAGGTTACCTGAATTGTTACTAAGGTTTGTTTTTAATAAGCAAAACAGGATATGCAAAATTTGCCAGCTGTTAGCAAAAACAGTTTTTAGCCAGCTGCACTTGAAAATAAAACATCCCTAGTGACTTCCTGATCTGAGAAACCCAGATGTAGCAGTGCATGCATTACCAGAACCAAAAATGGCCTAATAAGCCATTTAAATTACTTCATTTACTAAGACTATATTCTTTCTGTAAAGAAAAAATAGAAGAGGTTCATTTGGGGACTTTTCCCTACGTTTCTGTATTACTTATATATGGTTTTTAGTAATTCATAAACCCTTTATGTATTGAAGCTTATTTTTCTTGCATTGACTTTGAAAGGACTGTAAAATTCAAGGATTAAGGAAAGTTACACCAGAGGCAATGCAAAGCCATTTTCATAAGCTACCAGTAAGTCCTCATCAAGAGGAAAGAAAGAAAAAAGAAGAAAGCAAGCATATCAAAGGTTATCACAACTCTTTGATGCAGTCTTAGGTAGCGTAGCACATTCACACAATGCCACTGTATGAAATGCTGTCAGCAGTAAATCACAAAGCCCACTGCATTCACTGATTTCCATCGCTAGTCTGACACCACTAATGCATGTATGTCTTCATTAATATTATTTTATTGCCAGTGGCTATTTAAAAAGAAAGCAGGAGAATGTAATACTGTATGTGGATCATTAGCTTTTAGTTACTCCCCTAATGCCCTACACCAGCAAATGAAGTGTAAAAATAGCCTGCAGCCTCTGCCACCTGCTTCTCCGCCACTGTCCAGTGGTTAATGCTTGGACTCCTTTTTCATGCAGCTGGGTTTCTCCTCAGTAAGAGCTCCACTTGCCCTTCCTTGGGAGCCCCCATGAAATGTTATTTATCACGGGTAAAGCAAGGGCCCCTTGCCAGTCTTTTTTTTTTTCTAAGCGGGAGAAACAGCTGTGCTTTGTGCCTCAGCGTTATTTAAATATTTATTGAAGTGGCTGCCTAGTTTTGTCATAATGTGGATTCTCAATAAGGACACAAGAGAGCATGCAGTTTCTGCCATAAGGACATAATGCCAGTAATTGCATAAAAATGCTAATGCTACAAACACACTTTTGATAACAAATTACCAAATTATTTTTGTAGCTGATGGAAGACAGGTTTCTCCACGTCTCTGCCTTCCCCTCACTCTGGGAAATCACCAAGTGGTTTTAATGTAATTATCAGCCAGCTCTGAGCAGCCTTGCACAAAGGAGCCCTATGGCTGTCTGAGCTCCAGCAGATCTCACTGCTGGACATGCCACATCCACAGCAGTGACCCAAACATGGACCAACACCTCTCAGCAGCACATAGCAAGAGCTGTTGCAGGCAATCCAGCAAACACACAAGTAAAACCCAAAGCTCTTCTGTCACATGCAATAGAAAGTTGCTGTAACCTGACTTCAGATGCAGCAGTAGATCAGCCTTCACAAAAATTCCTACCATGTGAAGTTGGCCAGTTTGTGAGGGGTAGCAGAAATTTGAAGGCCAACTGAATCCTGGACTGCATCAAAGGAGGAGTAGCAGCAGGGCGATGAAGTTGATTGTCCCTCACTACTCTGACCTTGTAAGGCCCCATCTGCAGTACCGTGCCCATGGCTGGGCCTCCAGCACAAGAAGGATGCAGAGGTGTTGGAAAGAGTCCAGAAGAGGGCCACGAGGATGACCAGAGGGCTGGAGCACCTCTTGTACAAAGGCAGACTGAGAGAGCTGGGCCTGTTTAGCTTGAAGAAGAGAAGGCTCCAAGGAGACCTCATTGCAGTTGGCCAGTACTTACAGGGAGCTTACAAGCAGAACGGGAGCCAATTTCTTACACGGTCTGATAGTGATAGGACTATCACTAGAGCAGACTGGCTTTAAACTATAAGAGGAAAAATTTGGGTTAGATGTTAGGAAAAAATCTTTACTCAGAAGGTGATGGGGAACTGGCACAGACTGCCCACTCTACAATTCAACAATCCAGCAAGCTACAAAACAAATCATTATTTTTTTAAAAACTTGTTCAGGGTAAGTTTTTCTTCAAAGTAAATGCGTTCTGCAGATCTAAAGGATTAAACACAAATTCAAAACAAATTAACTTTTTCCACAACACAAGATGTTCTTGATGAAGAAAAAATATTTTTCTTACACATTACTATTTCCTGAATCAGTCTGCAATGCTTCTGTCAACAAAGTTGATGTTCTAGCTAATGACTGCATGCACAGATTACAGAGGTTTGTGAACTCAAAACCAACAGGATGAACAAAGAACCTCTACCTTGCTTTCTAACAGTCAAAAAACCACACACACCTTCATTGTTCAACATGGGATTAACTGATATAAAGCAAGCTAGGTGCTGTATCCTGCATGCATCAGACTGTCCTTTCAAATCCGTAGTTCTAAACAAAGCCTGCTTGTTTGAAAGAAAGTTGTCCAACAATGTGTCACATGCTCACTTTCTGCTAATGAGTAGAGCAGACTAAAACCAGACGCTGTATTTTTGCATCCACAGAATCCTGGGATCCTCCTTGCTACATCTCAGAATAACTGAGGGTCAGGGCAAATTTGGTCATTTACGTCATAAATGCAATGCTTTGCCAGTCATGCATTTTGGCAGGTTTTGCTCGTATAGCACTATCCACCATGTACTGCATCATAGTTATCAGTCATTTGCTAAGGAGCAGGAAGCAACAACTTGTCCTCTGAAACTGGCTCTGCTAGTGGTGTGCCAACAGCAGGTACCCACCTGGGTACCACGTGGGTTGCAGGAGGGTATTCATTTATGGAAATAACTGAGTCAACCACAGAAATTACTGCACATGAGCTACACCACTATGACTTTCAGCTTTAACTATACCATTAATTGTGCTGCATATTTGTTTTACACACACAAAATCTGAGCTAGAGCACCTACGTAGAGTCTTGTGCAAAGATGCTATACTGACCACATATCAAGGCAGGTAGAATATTCTGTTGATCCCAAAAGGACATCTGGAGGTCTGTACCATAGAGTTACCACTTCATTAGAATACGTATGGCTGGGAACTGATTTAGCTCTTGCAAGACCTGTGGGGTAAATACAAAGAAATTAATAAAAACTGAACAAAGAAATGGTTTGCTGTAGAGTTAAGATCCTAAAAGTATATATGAGGCCACATCACATTATCATGAATTCACGTTGCAAACAATTTTTTCTACTAGAAACAAAATAAATTGCTTAATGAAAGAAAGCATCTATGATTTAATACTTGGCTTAACAGAGCTGTGGTTATTCTGAAGGAATAATAAAATTTGACTTTGATAATGACAACCAAAGGCCCTGGAGAGATGTAAAGTTACAAAGTGGTATACCTAAATGAAAGACAAATAAATAAAGTTATTCATTTCCATTAACTACTCATCCTTAGGCATCAGAAGTCTTTTCATTTAAGTGCTTAGGAAAAGAGAATGAAAATGGAATTCCCAGACATACAGTGACACAGATGAGACGTTTTTTAGGAGAGCTTAAGGAAAAGTTCTGCCACTTATGCTGCAAACTTCAGCCTGCTTATTCAAATTTATATTTGAAAGCAGTAGAAACACTCAGACATTTCCATTCAAATAAATATTAATATTGCAGTAATACATCAAAAAATGTTACATGCAAAATTCTTCTTTCTCAAAAAATATATTTTGGCAGTGCAGCAATCTCAGAAACAGAAATCAATGTGATGAAAGCTTTACCTACTAAAAATACACTATTTACAATAACTGTCTTTCAAGCTTGTCAATCATTTAAAATAACTCACAGAACTATAAAAATCATAATCTATCTCATGTAAAATTGGAAAGATTTTCGGAGAGATTCTCATGTGCTTTTATAAACATCAATAAAATGCATATCTTCCTAATGGTTCTCCTACAAGAGTGTCTCTCATTAAGAAAATGGAAAAAAAAAATTCAGGACTTTGGTGACTGTTCCCATCACCTACAAGCACCCTTTCGAAGCAACTTGCTCCTGCTTACTGCCTTAAGACAATCCAATCCCTCACTGGGAACACTGGACATGCAGAAATAACAGAAATCAGGGCAATGCACCACTGCTTTTTGTCTTCCTAAACAAAGAATTACCGATTTCCCTTTCACACACAAAAAACAAAATCTCTTGCACCTCACATAAAACAAAAAGCAGTCAAGCCCTCAGAAAAAAATACACAACATGAGAATCGCATAAAAATGAATATGAGAGTCCTTTGCACCTTAATTCTCAATGCACTGGAGAAGCTATTTAAGAATAGTTAATCTCAGTGAGTACATCTCCATAGTAATGATGGCAAATCTTGCCAGTAGATTGCATTATCAGCTGATTATAGCAATTAGAACAGAGTAGGTGAATAATTTGACTTGTATGCCAAAATTTCTTTTAAAAAAAAAAAAATCAAATATGAACAAACTTTTTTTTTCCGCTTCAGTTTTCAGACTTCCATCTCCTTTGTATTTGTCCACTTGATCACTAGCTTGATCAGCACTTGGCTCACGTAAAGAACTCAAAGTTGGCAACTGCAGCATACCTCACACGACGAGAGGTAGCTTTATGCTACCTGCAGTACCTATCACAGAATCATAGAGTAGCCTGGGTTGAAAAGGTCCACAATGATCATCTAGTTTCAACCCCCTCCTATGTGCAGGGTCACCAACCAGCAGACCAGGCTGCCCAGAGCCACTTCCAGCCTGGCCCTGAATGCCTCCAGGGATGAGGCATCCACAACCTCCTTGGGCAACCTGTTCCAGTGCATCACCACCCCCTGAGTTAAAAATGTCCTCCTAAGATCTAACCTAAACCTCCCCTATTTCAGTTTAAAACTATTCCCCCTCGTTCTATCATTTTACCTCTTTACCATTTTTGTTTCTAGAGAATCAGAATCCAGCAAATGCTCTAATTGATGAATAGCTCATATTCCTAGCACAGAGAAACATTCACAAGTCTCAGTTTTTGGGCTCCTACATCCCATCCTACAGTATTCCCTGAAAGTGTGAATCTTGACCTACTGTTATTAAACTAAGTAAATATTATGCAAAGATTGGAGAAGGCTGACGGTAAATGTCCCCATCCTTCTTTGCCTGCCTGATATTCCCTTCCAGAACTCCTTTGCTGTTGCCTCAGGAAGACTGAACTGGGTTACAGATCCTTTCCTCTCTAATCTTCTGCCCAGCTGTGATGGGAGTGAAAGCCCAGGCAGGCAGGGAAAAGGCACTTTTAAGAAGCCAGCAATACAATATGATATTGGAAAAACTGGCAAAAGCTTTAGAATTTTGTGGGGTGATAATGGAATGCAGGTCCCCCCGGTACAAAGTGCTTGACCCACACACTCAAGAAATCTCCAATGTAAGGAGGAATATGCACCTGGCCATACCAGAAATCATACTGCAAATAATACATTTGTGCTTGCCAGCAGGTTTCTGCCACCATTCTAGCTAAGGCGGAGGTCTGCAAGTACTGTAGCCAACCTGAATACATCTTCCCTGACTGGCGCCATTGTTCAGCCAAAATCCTGCCCTCTGTTGGGATGCTGCCCACCCTGCTTTCACAACCTATTGCTTCCACCCTAATCCAGGCCAGAATAACTGAGATCCATCACATTTTCAAGGGATGCCTCTTTTCAGGTAATCTCAGTCTGCTGGACAGCTAAAAGTTATTCTTCGTTCTACTTTCACTTCCAAAACTCCATGAAAGCCTCGTTTGAGGTTGCTACATCTGGTTTCTCAGTTATAAGAAGATCATTACTGGAATCAAGAAAGTTAGGAAGCAAAACATTAATTTGTAAGAGCAAATTGACATCAAATTGCATCAGTGCTGCAGGTTTAAGACGTTTACAGCCGTAAGTTTTATGTAGTGGCTAACTGGTTTCCTGCTCATCCACTTACACTACTTTGCAGACTATATGGCCAAATTTAGCAGAACTGAACAACCAAGGGAAATACATACAAAAGCTAAAATTTGGCACACGAACATTTGGCACAGTCCCTCTGTTTTAGTCAATTGCTTTTCCAGTGCAGAATTCAAAGGCCCTAAATTAGGCTAATGCCGTAGAGGAGCTTCTCTTTCTTAGGAATGGGAACAAAGTTTGCTTTTTCTGAAGAACACTCTGCACAAATACAGCATTTGCAATTATGAACACTTTCATTTGAAGACTCAAAATTAATGTAAATATCTCCCATCCCACTTGAAGCATGAAAAACATCCTCATCTTTCAGATATATTTACAGTTTAAAAGCAGAGCTACCAAAATATATACATATAAACACTGACAAGATTCTGCACTTCTTGTTTTGATGTTCCAGATGTGAACAGATGACAGTTACCATCTTGGGTTACTTTGGTGGGATTTTTTTGTTTGTTTGTTAAAAAAAAAAATGCAGAAAAAAGCAAACAAAAAAAAAATCTATGTATTTCATACCTTTTTGCACATTCAAATATGCTTACTCATGCAAAATTTATTTAACCACATCCTTCAACTGAAAGGGAAACTGAAGGGTAGGATTAATTAGCACAGCATGTTCGATCACTTTCGTTAAGGGTTCCCTGTCTGTTTCCATGGATACCCTACAGGAAGTGTGACAGTCTCCTTTGAAAAAGACAGAGCTCATGGGTGATCATCAAAACTTCAGATCTTAATGGCTATGACAAACAAAAGCCAAAAGGGAAATGGTGACATTACCAGGTGAAGGCACAACATTTACATACGGCTGCTTGCACCCTTCTTGCCTGTGAAGGGGCATAGATGGCTCACTGACAGTTGGTGAAGTCCCTCCTAGATCCAACAGCCTCCAAAATACAAAAGGTCACCATGCAGCCTGTGTCTGGCCTCGTCTGGAAAGGGGGAAGCCAAGAATAAGGCCCAGCGATTAAAGTCAGGTGGCACCGGCCCTGCTGAGTATAATTATGGCAACAACAGACACTCCTGTAATCCAGGGATTCACTTCACTGGCTATTATTTATCCTAGCTGGAAGAACAAACTTTTCTCATGCATCACATGCCCCCAACATCTACCTGTGCTATGCCGCAAAGCACAACTTTATTTTATATCATTCATTAAACAAGAGCTCATGTGATCCTGTAATGCCCTTTATTTAAAACACAGGCTGACTGACTATGCTGACATATGGAATGGAATAGAGCAGAATGGAATATCTAATCCCAAGTGTCTGAGCTTTCCAGGACAACTCTAAAGCAAGAAGATATTTCCCTGCATGGTAAACAATTTTCTCTGCTTCGTCTGGCTTTACCTTTTATCTCAGACCCACAGACTGTCTCTGACTTCACCTAGTATCAGTTAGTGATGTAACAAATTTATTTGTACTGATTTATCACCATTTTTAATTTATTTTATTTTACATGGCTTTTAAAAGAGGAAGCAGCTATATCCAGACTCAAATAGAGTTACCTTTGGTTGTGAGCACAAATATTAATATTTGATTTTTTTTTTGTCGCAGAATTACTTTCTAGTCAAATTCATGTGACAACCAGGAAGCCTTTGTTCAACAGTAAGCCTCATCCTACAGCTGACAAAGACAGTAATGCAAAAAGGAGGGCTTGCCAAGTATGTGCATTGTTTTCCTTTCCATTACACTTTAAATGTATTGATTTGTTTACTATTTTTATTTAAATGTAACAAAAAGGGCTTCAGTAAGGCATGCTGCAGCCAAAAAAAAAAAAAAGACTGGTTTTTCTCTTTCATTGTTGTTTATCCTTGATTCATATTCTTTCATGCTTCCTTTCTTTGATTCCTGTTCATTTATTTTAATTTTTTTTTCAACTACTTTGAGGTACATGGTTTATTACCATTGTTCAGTAACAATATTAAAATATTAACATAATCTATTGAAGATCATGAAACAGAAGTAAAATGGGTGGAAACTGACATTGTTTCAACAAGACACTCGGCTCTCCACCCCAGAATTCAGCTCTTGGCAAGTAAATGTACTGCAGCCTGAAGGTCCCTCTGCTGAACAGAAATCATCTGTCCCTTATCTGTAGCTGATCTGAGTTAAATTTCTTTCAACTATGATAAATTACCTACAGTAT